AGCTCTTCCTTCTAAGATCACTAGCCTCCTTCTCCAAAGGTTGAGAGCCAGAAACAACACCTTTGCTTCCTTGCTAGATTCTTCCTTGATCAACAAGCAAGAAATTCAAGGAGAAGAGTAGAAGGATGATGGAGAATCAGGGGAGTTGTTTGATACACAATTCACTGATTTTCTCAATGATCTTGGAGATTACAGCATCTCCAATGGCTACTACATCAGTAATACTACTGCAAATGCTTGTGATTACTTGACAAAGAGTCTTGAATCATGTTTAACAAAGAAGGCGGATTCTAGTGGGAGAGATTTGGGGTTAGATTATTGCAATTTCAGTGATGCTGCTCAATCTTCCAGGTGTGACAACATTGTTGAAGAAGGACTTGATATGGAAGCACTTGATTTTCATTTTGTGGATGACATTGGATCATCCAGTTATTACTCTGCCTTCGAGATGGCTGAAGAGATTGAAGAGCCAGTGGAGGCAGAGAATTTCTCGAACAAGCCCTCAGTGTTAAGAGCTGCCATGAAGAGAATGAAGTACGAGAGGAAGTTCTCTACTTTTTATGCTTTCAATGGAATACCAGAGTGTTTGAGGCTAAGGCTCGGGTTAGAAAATGTCAAGGGTGGAAGAGTAAAAGCTGAACTGTCAATTCAAAGTCTAGAGGACAAGAAAGGTGAAGGAAATGAAAATGAAGTGATGGGGAAGAAAGTGGAGGAGAGCCTGGATTCTCCCAGCAGCTCAATGGAAACAGGATCTTCTTCAAGCCATGAAGGTGAATTTTGTCTGTGGAGCTCGCTTGATCTTCCAACTATCTATTAACTGATGGATATAACTGGTATTGCTTCAATTCCCGATGTTAGTTCTGATATTCTGAGATAGGTTGAGGGAACAATGGCATAGACATGTAATGATGAGTTTATAATCCTGAAATTTGTTCTTTCTTTCATGTTCATGAACCATGAATTTTATGAGCAGTTATTCTAATTTCTGTTACTTAATCAAGATAGATAGAGACTTGTGAAAGCCAATAAAGCATTTGTGTAGTGATCAAAGAACTGACTGGAGTCGAGAGGTTTTGAATTCAATCCTTTAGGAATAGTGTAAAGAGCAGGAACTAATTATAAGGCTTTCCCAAAAGGGAAAGACAAAAAAAATTATAAGGTTTTCCCTTCAGAAGTTCTCGCAGGGAATGCCTTTATTGTTAATTTGGTCAAAATTGATATTATTTTGCAAAATAAAAATTGCTAGTAATAAGTTTCCGATATAAGATAAAATAGCACGTTGTTAAAATATATCCTCTCTGTGTAAAAGTATAAGTAGAGAATACATGAACCATGAAAGAAAGCATAAATAGGACACGTAGAAACAAATAAACATCAAAATCTATAAAGAAAAGAAGAAACAAATATTGTTCTGGTATTTGAAGTACAGAGACAACCGAATTATTGATTAGTAAACACAACTATTTAAAGCAATACATTCAAAATTCAAACAATAGTCATATCACATATTTGGTAGAAACAAATAAGTTACAGTCCGACCACATCAACAAACAGCTAGAAGATCAAACTAAAC